TTGGAGTACAAACAGCATGTGAATTGTAAGCCTTCAATCATGTTACCCTAGGGATTTCTGATACATTTCCTTTCATCTACCAAAGTATTTATTGGGTTAGAAATTTAAATAAAAATAGCATGGAAAATCTTAATAAACATTTGTGTATTTTTTGTGAGCATGAATATGCTTCAGGATTGGATGATAGTTATTATTAGCTGGATAATTTTGTGACAGTGTTCATTTTGACCTCTTTGATGTTGTTTACCTGTATTAAAGAGATCTTTAGGTTTTAGGTTTTGCGCTATTAAATATTTCATACTATTGTCCAAAAATGCACTACTACATCAGGCAGTAAATTTAATATATTTTCACTGGAAAATGGTATTAATTTGCACTTTATCTAACAGGTCAGGTTAATTTGGCAGGCATGTATAGAGTTCATAAACATCTTCATTAAACAAAAAAGAAAATAGTCCCTTGTACCTCCATGCTCACTGCAGTCTGGTCTATTTTTAGAAAGGTGAATTAATTGTTTTTTGTACACAAAAAAAATAAAAGTAAAACTACAAAAGCTGAGCATCCCTCAGCTAAACTAACATAAAGAATTTACAATTAACCGTTAGTTTGGTAGAATACTTGTTCTACTGGTCATGCTTTAGCCTAGGTAAGTGTGTTATTGCTTAATTGTCCAAACACTGACCCCTGCAGGACAGGCTTTTTATAAAAACCTCTGGTGAAGAGAAGCAGAGAGGTGCCATTAAAGGTCCAAGGCCTTGTCGTCATGTGTTCACAGTTCTGTGCCTACAGTAGGTTAAGAGGAGGCAGGAGAATGCTGTTGACGGGTGTCCAGGCTCTGTGTGTCCTAGCACATTTGTCAGCACTCTGGGAATGGGATGTCAAAGACTTCGCAAGACACCAAAGAGGATTTAATACTGCCTCGATAACTCAGCATGAAGTGCCAGCTGCCGTGGTCTAGGTTTTGGCTATAAGGGGTCCTCAAGCATTTTTATTCAAAGCAATTTACAGGGACTAGGATGTGAACGTTACACGACCAAAGACACTTTACTATACAGCCAGTTTTAAGATGTAATCTGAAACAGGGAAGCTCCGTCACTTGCACAGGGTTCTAAAAATAGAAAACAACAGCTAGGAACCTTTTGGTAGCTAAAGATGTAGTTTAATTGCTTCATTTTGCCAATTATTTGACAATATCTTCCTCTTGCTTTGCACTGTCATTTCTGTGAGACTTATTAAAGATATTAAAGGAAATGCAGAAAGTGGACGAAAAATTGGATCACCTGGGTAAGTCAGGAAGGAATTCCAAGTATTTTGAGAGCGAGGGTGTCCACACAGGTGTGTCTCATACATTAATTAAGCAAATAACATCCCAGCGTGCTTAGGGTCATAAAAATGCTGAGCAGGTCTGGTTGCCCATAATTCTGGCCAGCATGGCTGCAGGAGGAAACCTCTGTAGCTTCAGAAAGAGGGTTAGAACAGCTGGCCTGTTTGGCAGGAGCTTCAGTGATGAAGACCGCTCAACTCGCTGATGTTTCATGAGCAACCGCCAGCCATGGAAGTCTGAGGGAAGCAACAGTGAGCAGAAACGCGTGATCCGGGATCGTGGTACCTGTACCAGGCAGAACAATTGACCAACTGCTGATCAACTGACTACATATTACAGCTTGGGGTATCGAACTGCTGCCTTCATCACAAACATTTCTGCCACAGAGCAGAGTACCGTAGTCGGGTTGCAGCATCTAAACGTCTCGGCACATCTGGCAGCCCATGTTGTGCGAGTCCAACGGTGCAAAGACCACAGGCGATGGACTACAGAGCAGGGGAGAAGTGCCATGTGATCAGATGAGGTATCCTTTGCCATGTTCTCGACAAACGGATGAGGACTCGGGGGGTGCCAGGCTAAAAAACTCCAGCAAGGCAAGGTCAATAAAAATTGCTAATTAATGGGACTGAGTGATAATCTTCAGCCCGTGTTCCTGCAGAAAGGGGTGTCTTCCAGGATAACAGAGCCCAATGGTTTGATGAGCATGACAATACTGTTCAGTCACCAGATTTTAACCCAGTTGAGCTTTTATGAGATAGTCTGGAATGACGCCTAACACAGCCCTGTTAATTGACTTTACATTGGTGTTACTATTTTATTTTGTCTGCTACCTACAGATTCTTCAATGTTCGCTTATGTAGACTAACTCTGACCCATTTTGACTAATTTTGAATTTCTTCCCAGCTACAGTACATTTAATGTTACCCATCAGTATTTATTTATTAAAGGTTATTTTCTCCCCTTGTTTTTTAATGGTTTAAACTTTGGAATCCAAACCGAATTAAATATATGTAGTGCATCAGCTTTGTAGATATCAGAAAATATTTTCTTTAAATTACCTTCTTTTAACATGAATACAACTCAAAGTATTTTTTTCCACATTGTGTAACTGAAGTAACTACATTGCTGAGCAGGAGACGTTAAAACCATGCATGTCCTAGTGAGCCCTAAGGCGGAATTACGGGGAATTCTCTGGCAAAGTTGTCTATTGTAATTCAAGGTTGAGGAATTCCTGGTCTGTAACATGAAGAGTTCATTTTTACCTTGGCTGCTAAAGTAATTATAATATCGCTTTTCAAAACATGACCCTGAAATAAACAAGCTGCTATGTTACTGCTGAAACCCTCAGGAAAGTAAAATAAAAAACGAAAATAAAATAAAAAGTTATCTTGTCCCCTCTTAAGATGAGAGCTGCTTTGCTCTGTCATAAGAAGGGGTATTAACAAGATAAACACTGAAACCCCATTGACATGTTTTTGTCAGAAAGAGGTGGGGTAGAAGTCGCCAGGCGCGGAGTTTGCCTTTTATGTTCTGTTTTGTTGCTGGCACTTAATTTTTCCCCTTCTAAATGTCTGGCTTGTAGGTGGCTGCCAAGCTTTGACTTTCAATTAATGTTGTTGGCAAGAGTCCTGTGGAACCTTGAAACCCATGTGTGTCTGGATGCCACCCCTGCCCTGGAGGGGAACAGATAAGAAGAGACAAGCCAAGAGCAACCACTGCCAGTTCAAAGCACATCAGAGCCCTAGGCAGGAGATAACAGGGGCCCATCTGCATAGCGATGTGTTTATAAAGCTGCAAATTAAGCAGATCAAACACATCGCCTTTTTTTTCCGTAAACACGTGGAAAACATAGACAGAACGGGAATTACAGTCAGCGCGGTGACAAGTGAGAGGTACTTGGGCTGCAGTTAAGGACGTGTGCTGCTGCTGCTGCTGCTGTGGTTTGCGGAAATGGCACACCGCGTTCCAGGTTAGCCAACCATGATGCAGTCGCCTGTGCGTGGGGCGGGGTGTGCGTGAAAGTGCCAACGTCTGTTTGAAGACCAGTTGCCTTGTATCTCACCCCGGCCTGGTCAGAACGGGGATGGAAGAACTCCAAGGAAATCAAGGTCACAGATGCAGGAGGTGTTGGTTGACCAGTAGGTGGCGCTCTTTGCTCTGGAACGACCTCCGCACCAATGCCCCATTGTGGTGACCAGGGACACTGTGCTGAAGGGGGTTCTGTCCTTCGAATGAGACTTTAAACCAAAGTCCTGACTCCTTGAGCATTAAAGAGCCTATGGCACTGTAAGAAGGAGCAGGGATATTAACTCCGGTGTCCAGGTTAAATTCCACAGTGAACAAGCACATTGTGGCATTTCTAAAGTTTCTCCTTAATTCAAGTGCTGAAGCAGTTTCTCATCCCGCTCCCTGCTTAAGTGAGTTTGAAGTGGATCCACTCCTTTATGTTAAGTACTTGGGGATCCTTTGGAATGAAAAGCTTCATATAAATGCAGTTTATTATTATTTTTATTATTATTATTATTCCTTACAAAAGTACTAACTCCTGAGCAACAGACCTTGTGAGAAACAGTGAAGTGCTTCTTGCAAAGCAAATACTTTTAAAAAAAACTAAATGCCACCATCTTTGCAGACTGCAAGTGCAGGAACTATTTATCTGGGGTCTTTTTTCACCTTGTGTCGAGCTCCATTTCAGAAGAGTATAGAACAGTGAGTAACAATGGAAAGACAGCCAATAGGAGGCCCTCACAAGTACAGAAATGCAAGCATGTGTGTATGACAAGCCAAGAATGCGCTCTCTTCCAGCCTATGCGGAGGGGAAAAAATGCCTGAACTTTTGCCCCCCAGTGCTGAGCCCAAATAAAAGAACTTCCTCAAAACAGAACAGTTTTTTGTTTTTCCAGAAACTGTGCGAAATGTGACGTGCTGACAGTCAATAGACTTGAAAGCATTCTTTGATTTCTCAGCTTACAACTGATAAGATCTTTATTTTTGCTTTTTTTTCTAAATAAAATATTTCCTGAAAACCTAATTAAATTTAACTAATCGTTCTGTACTGTGTGTGTCCATTTGTTTCCATGCACCATAGTTATCTGCCTGTAGTAATTTGATTTATCTGAGAAATGTTTGATAAAAAATATTTGGTATTTTTATGTTCTGCTGATCCGTTGCTGTAGTGCCTTCTCCTTTGGAATTAATAGTTCTTTAGTAACTTCCTTCAGACTCTTCAGCTACATTTGATTTAGGACAGGGATCCACCCCTCGTCCTGGAGATCCCCAATCCAGCAGATTTGCTCACCATGAAGTCACCTGTCGGTTCTAGAGATAGGGGACAATAGATTTGTTAAACTGAGTCATCAGATTTTTCAGGGGCTAGTATCACAGTAATCTTCAGCCCTCATGGACCAGAATTCTCTTAATTGAACAGATGACTTGCAGATATCTAAATGGTGTTACCAATCTTAGCCAAAACAGTTTACCTGTCAGACAAACTGGTTTGGGGCTGCTCGGGACCAGGGTTTGAGTCTGAAGGTTTGATGCCCTTAACTGAGTTTCTGAAACTTTGTTCTGACTCAGAAGTAGTTCGGGGCGTATGGGTGAAGCACTCTGTGGGTGGTTTATGGATTTAGATTTGCGGGGTTCCTGCTGTTCATGCTTTTTTTCTCCCCTGGTTTAGCTTGAAATGAAGACAAAAGTACTGGAGGCCAGATGCCACGAGGAGAAGCTGAAGATGCAACAAAAGCATGATGCTGATGTTCAGAAGGTGAGCCCAGCCTGATTCGGTTTGATAACAGCATGGCCTTTCTTACGCTTCCATCTGCAGAGAGCATGTGTGTCTTTTCACTGGCTCTTCATTTTCATTTTTGAAAAATTTAAGGATTAAATTTGTTCGCTAAGGTGCTTTATTGTCATATATTGGCCTCAAATAAATAAATGAGTATTAAAGGGATGTGTAATGTTGCTACTGTACTGCACTGTTATATATAACTGTGATGTACAGTATAACCACACAAACAGTGAAATATAAAATCTCTGGGGAACAGTCCCTAGTGAGACTCAGACTTGCACTGGGAGGGCACCTAATCAAATCCATAGTCCTAAACCTGTCCTCATCCAGTTGCATATGAGACATTCGTTAAGACTTTTCACAGTAAGACTATCTTATCTGGACACTGTGCAGAAGAACGCTTCATTCGCCCCTTTTCATTCAGGTGGCTTTTTTCTTGTCTTCGAGCTGCTCCTTGTAAGATCCAGAGAGCGATACAACTGTAAAGTAACAGATGGAGCTCAGTCTTGGTTTATCTTTGTGAGACTTGGGTGTGGGAGCCGTGCATGAAACATACATGTTCTATGATTTTCATATGACCAGTGAGAGTACATAATGTCTCATCTGAAGGACAGCGCCTTTTCATTACAATATAGAGTCCCCATCACTCTACTGGGACATTAGGACCCACACCGACCGCAGGGTGAGCGCCCTCTTCTGGGCCCTCTAACACCTCTTCCAGCAGCAGCCTCAGCTTTCCCAGCAGCTCTCCCCTCCAGGTACTGACCAGGCTCACACCTGCTGAGCTTCAGTGGGCTGCCAGGTGTGAGTTGCAGGTGATGTTATAGCTGCTGGCATGACTGTAAATGACATCCCAGAATTGTGCTGGTCTTGTGGGGAACTTGTTTCAAGCACACACCAGTAGTTTGGAGTGTACCCTAATCACATTGAAACTGGCTGAAGCAGGGACCTCACAATGCACCCAAGGGTGAAAAACACAGTTTTGCTTAATTTAGCAGAAAATGAATTATTCCAGTACAATTGATAATTGTTTTAAATGGCTTTAATTCTCAACAAGTGAATTAAAAATACTTCTTCATTTTTATGTAGAAAAAAATGAATTATATGGCTGAATTATGTAACTATAATAGATAACATAGTTTATGCAAATTGAATACTATTTATATTATTTGGAAGTTTTTATTTTGAAATAAAAGCACAAGGAAGATGGTGAAAAGGCTGTTGGGGAACACTGTAGCTACAAAAAATAGTATCTAAAATAGTAAATACATTTTCCTAAGCTTATTGTGCAGTAGGATACAGTACGTTTGTCATAGTGCTTTGTTTCAGCACTGGAGACATTTATCTGTCACTTACTGGCTCTGAAACCTGTTGTATAGGTGTGGCGATGAAGTGAGTCAGATTGTTCCTGGGCAATCCTGAGCTTAGCTGCACAATTTATAAAACATCAGTGACAAGGAAACTGGCTGGTCTTGTTTGTTACACGAAAGGCTTGGAAGCTACACAGGTTTCTAATGTTGTCTGGTGTTTCCTGTAAAACAGACTGGAGGCTCTTTTGGAAGGCCTAAGTGACTTTACCAATATTGTATTGAAGCACTCTATTAAAACATTCTCCAGCACTAGAAAAACAATGACGACTGAGAAACATGGCATTTGCACATTGCCAATTAGCAATGGCTTTGAGTTAAATTTAAAGATATTCTCTGCTGGGTCTTTCATAATGTGGCTTCTGGGGACTAGGAAAAGGCCATTCCAGACTACGATTTTTCCTTAATGCCTGACCAGATGCAGGGTCCTCCTGTTTTAATTGTGTGATGCTGTTTCCCAAAAGGACAGCCTGCCGTCGGTCATAATGGTCAGCACACTGTTACAGTGGCACGTCCATGAGCTTTCTCTCAGAGATTGCAAGACTAACTGGCATGAAATAACCAGGAGAGGAATACAGAAATTTGAGTAATGTCCAAAACCTCTGCTAATTGACTTCCTTCTCCTTCTCCTCCTTTTACACTGTATTTATACGCTTTTTATGCCTTTTGTATTTCAAATAGTAGAAAAACTAAAACCCTTAGTCTACTATAAACAAGGGGTAGAATCTAAAGTGCTCAGTTTTTATCTGGTGGCTTTTTGTTGAAGAGCTGCTCTTAAAGCTTCAAAGCCTCCTAAAAGCAGGAGCCTGACTCTTTACAGCCTGTGCTGTCCTAATCCTTGCCGTGACCTGCTGCTGTAACTCAGATGAGAGCCCTGCTAAAATGTTTTCCTTTGGGAGAATAAAGGGGGAAGATTGCCTAGCCTTGAAATATTTTCAAAAAATAAAATTCGCATTTACCGTGACGTCTGCATCTTTCATCTTGTGTCCATGAGACGACGAAAATGAATGGCTCTACATTAGAGTGGGATTTTAATGGAGAAGCTGGGATCACCCTGTGAAGTCCATGTGGCATTTGGAGAAAATCATCGGCTATGTATTTCAAAAAGCTTTTTTCTGTTTTAGCCTTTTTTTCCAAAACTCACCCCTACGGTTTCTTCCTGTGCAGCAGATTTGTGTCCAGTTCTGTCAGTTCATACAGCTTCACTTATATCTTGGCCGACATGAGGACAGCTAAAAATCTTTCCTTTTTCCACTTAAAGGTGGGGGAGAGCAAAAGCATTTGCTCTTTGACTAATTTATTTGTCTGCTGCTTTCATCTAAAGCAGCTTACATTTATACCCATTTGTGCAGCTGAGTGCAGTATTTCATTAGAACAGTTCTGGCAAGTTACCTTGCTCAAGGGTACAACGGCGAGCAGTGCCTCACCTGGGATTTGCGACCGCAACCTTCCAGTTACGGGTCCAGAACCCCAACCACTGCACTACACTGCTCTTATTAAGAAGGTTTATTATTTGTATTGAATGCAGATAAATCCAGCTGCTGAGGTCACTCATTCATTGAAACGTTTCCTGAAATGCATCAAGTTCTCTTCCAGTATGCGACATGTGTGTGGTGTAACTGGAAATGTAAACACATTCTTCAGTTTGAAAGAGTCGTTGCAGGTTGAGTTAGTCCTGGTCGCCGGATCCCCCACCACAGACAAGGCTTCACTCAGGTTCCTTGCATTACATTTCCCAGGCTGAATCACAAACACTGAGGCAGCTGATCTGCACTGCAGTGTCACACATCAAAGGCCTTCATAAAGGATGTTAATATTTGCTCAGGTGCATCTTTCCGTCCCTTTGCATGGCTTTTGAATACATCAGAGCAAAGATGATCTTCTGAAGGAAGCATCTCAGTGAGAATTAGGGGTGGATGGCAACCCCCCCTTCTACCCTTCTCTCCTGGGCCTTGTAGCCCCAGTTCTCTGCTCAGCCCCCCCCCAAACTCAAGTCAGCTCTCCAGGCCGTGAGCCAGTCCCTGGCCCTGTCATGTGACTCAGACAGCTGAACACACTGCCTGACTGTCTGGGAGCTCTTTTTGGAATGCACAGCAAAAGTTGATGGACAGCTTATATTCTGTCTTGAGGAAAAATTAAAGTCATTGTGTATATACAGTACAACTGCACATTAGAAAATATTGTGTTCGGGTATGAACATTTTTGTTGTGACTCATTCATTCTTGATTCCTTTGATGGAAGGATAGTCCTGTTCAGGGGTTGAACAGGGCTGAATAATATGCTTGTTTTAGCTGATGTGCAAAACATTTTCTGTGGTGTGTCTGATGAACAACTTGTCATGGCAAAAACAGTCCGGGTCAATATGTTTTAAATGCTGAATTTACTAAAGGCGGCTTTAGATGTCTCTGTTTTCATTTGGTTGACTAAGGCATATAGTGTATAAAATTCCACCTTAAGATTTGGAATGTCAGACACCACAAAATTTGCCACAGACAGGAGTTTATAGCAGTCCTACAAGTCTTGGTGAGGTCAAGGTTTCACTCCAGCATCTCTCTCAAAAATCTCTAGCTGCCTTTTTTCAAGAGTAAGCAGATTTCATGGGCTTTTCCTCTTGCTCTCCTTGAAACAGTGCCACCAGGGAAGAGCCAGCTCCTTATGAGACACTGCTCTTCTGCTGTGCACGAATATGGTGTTTGATCTACTGCTACTGTAGTTCTTCATGATGCCAGTGCATGTAAGAGGGACGAAGGGAATCCTGCTTCCGGAGGGATCTTTCATGCTTCTCACTGTTCGTTGACAAGAGAGAAAAAAACTCAAAGTAAATATGTGCATGAAGCAGTTTTAGTAAAGGTTCTCACTGACCCTGCAGCAGGAACCTGCACAAAAAGATGCACCTGCAGAGTCATTAATGGTTTTCTCTAGATTTTCCCATAAAAAAAGGTTTTTTAATAAAAAAAAACTTTCAGATAAGCTCAGCTGCTCAATTCCCCTTTTCAAATGCTAACGTTTTTATTCCTTTAATAAAAGTATAATTCATTTGACAGTTGAAAAAAGCTAAGGGAGCTTTGTGTCTTTGCACAGCTCAGTGAGTCTAATCCACTCTGTGTCTTTTGGGCTAACCTAATGCCTCAGAACTGCATGGCAGGAACCGATTAGCAGGAAGGTCAGTGGGCTGCAATGTCAAAGTTATTCCATTTTGTGCAATACATGTGGGGGCAGTTATTTACTGGCACCGTCTGATTACCCTTTAGTCCTCTTTACTCTTAGAAATTAGTTGGCAGAAGTAGTAGCCAACCTATTGTAAAACAACAAAATCCCTTGTATGAAAACACAACAAAGGGGAAGAACATACACGTGGCAACCTTTGAACGTTTTTTTTTTTGTGTGGTTAGATGGTGACACCATACTTTTAAACTTCTTTTTGTGTATTTTTTCCTAACTTCTGCTGAACTGTATTAACACTGGTTCTGGATCATTGTCGTTATCTTGTTCAAATCTAGACCATTGTGTATATACATTTTTAGAGATGTGTGCCTTTGAACACAAGAGCATGTGGTTTGGAACGTCCAGTGAAATCTGCTCGCTTTGTTTCAGATTTTGGACAGAAAGAACAATGAGATCGAAGAGCTGAAGACTTTGTACAGGAACAAGCAGAAGGAATCTGAAGAAACCATTCGCAAGCTAGAGAAAAAAGGTGTGATGTGCCTGGACTTAATCATAGTTAGCTTTTGATTGTATGCTGTTGGCTTAGAGAGCACATTCTCCTAGCGAATTTCACACATACACAGTTAACAAGTTCACATTGGAAGTGTGGCCATCTGTTGGGGCACAGACACTAGCTATGGGGCATTTATGAGACCACAGCCATGCATATACAATGCAATAAATAGATTAATAGAAACACGGCACACAGTGTAAACAGAGCAGTGTGAGTTGCAGTTTTAAAACAGAACACATGGAGTCAGTCTGTGGAGTTGATATTGTAGAGTGAGTGGGAATGACACATTTGTTTTAAAACAGTGCTTCTTCTCTGTGAAGAAGTAGAGTGACTGAACTGAACATCACTTGCTGTCAGGGTAGGGATGTTTTTTAGGTTTTGTTACTTGTTATTTCTCTTCAAATGGAATTACTTTCTGGGTTTAATAAGGAGCTTCTGGGCTGGTATCTCCCAGCTGCAGACTTGCCAACAGTCTGTAGTTCCCAGTTTGGGTAATTGCTGTCAGGTACCCAGTGGGTTAAAGTACAGCCCTCTCAGCTTTACAATGCTTAACACTCTCCTGTCCTGAGACCAAAACGGCTGTACAAATTGCACTGCAGTAATGATATCTGGTCCAAAAACCAGAGGAGGCCGCTCTGCACTTCCAGCTTGGTAGGTTTTTAGCAGGTAGTTGGTCTGGGGGTCCCGTCCAGCTGTGTGTGGAGCGATGCAGCTCTGCAGGACGTGCAGACTTCCCTCAGTGTGACTGTGACAGCACATCTGCACAGCGCTATTCAGTGTCCCATCTGCATGTGTCCCAAAGACAGGTTTGTGCACTGCGGTTGTTGAATAGGCAGATTACCTTTAGCAGCAACCTAAATATAATTGCATTATTAACTATAATCCAAACAAAAGACTCTACAAAAGTCTCTATGTACAATATATCATGCACTATCAACTACTAGTTTCTCTCTCCCAGGGTATATGATGGATGGGGAAGGTAGTGGGTTTCTGCCCAGTGCAGAGGGTGGACGCAGAGGCCCAGACAGGCTGGGTGCAGTGTCTGTCAGGAATTTCCCTGCCCTGTGGCCTGATGGTGTCTGTCCTCTGTTTCAACAGTTCAAAGCCTGGTACGAGAGTCGCAGGTTATCCGGGAGAGCAAGGAACAGCAGATTGCAGAGTTAAAGAAAATTTCAGACCAAAGTGCCGATTCTCTGAAAAATGAGTGGGAAAAAAAGGTAAGGAAGTGCATCTCAGGCCCACGTTTTCCGATTTTCCCGGAGAACTGCACCACAGTCAACAGGGACATCATTCTGTATACTGCAGCAGTCGTATGTTACATAGCAACAAAGTCTGTTATGTGTTTAAAACACATTTTCTAATGCAGTGGGATTACTGAAATATTTTGGTGGATGTTTGGATGTGTCACTGTAAGAACTGATAGATGCATAAAGAAAGAACAGCTATACGCATTTCAGAATGTATGCACACCCAAAACTGTTATAGTCTGACATAAAGCCATGCATTGGCCTAGGAGATAAATATCCAGTTTGCAGTAGGGTCTGTTTCAGCATAGACAGGTTAAAATGGCGGTGAACAACCCCAGTCTTGCAGGCCTGCATTCTCTTTTGGTTTTCTTTCTCTCTGAGCCTTTAATGACCTAATTAAGTCTTCAGCATAACTTGACCAATACAGCACTATTCAATGGTCTTGAGCCGTTGATAATAATAAGACCTGTGTACAGGTAAACTGTGGACAACAGGATGGGTTGATTAGTTCTGGAGATGCTATTTTCATCGGCGTTGCAAAAGGCAATGGAAAAAGCACTTCTTCTTCTTCCTTTTTCCTCATCTTTGCTCCCAGTTGCACAACGCGGTGGCAGAGATGGAACAGGAGAAGTTTGAGCTGCAGAAGAAGCACACGGAAAACATCCAGGAGCTGCTGGATGACACCAACGCCCGTCTTGCCAAGATGGAGGCCGAGTATGGCGCGCAGACGCAGGCCACGGTGAGGACTGTGGGCCGAGCTCACAGAGAGCAGAGAGGGGGTGGGGTACCGCCAATTAGTCATGCCCCACACCCTCTAAATTAGTGTAATCTCATTAGTGGCTCAACTACAGCAATCGAGGTTTCCTTAGTCTAGAATGGCCTTGCCAAGTTATAGCCCAAGCCCAGAAGAGTCTGGAGTCTGGAGTCTTCCCAGAAGAGTCTGATTATGAACTAATAGCTCGCTTTAACCTGACCCCTCCAGCTGTAAAGGCGAGTAGAGGTCAGCAAGCTCCGAGGATGTACTATGAAAGGAACCTCTTTGCTATTTCCCTTCTTTCTATTTTAGATGGACTTTGTAGGGAATGTGAGCTATAGCCCTCTCTCTGTGCACCAGATACCCTACCAGGTGCAGAACTTCATCTGACCCTCAGAATTCAGAAGCCGGACTGTTTAGTGCCATAGTGCTGTTTGATTGCTATCTGGAATTCATCAGATTCATGCTAACCCATTTATAATCCAAGCACATGTAGACATCGATTAATCTTGCCTCTGTGGTAGTCGTGATCCCCACTCCCTCTTTTTATTGCGATCTAAAGTGAGTGGCGGGACATGTCAGTTGCTGAAGGTGTACTGCCGAACACTGTGGGAAGAGTGCGTTAAAGGCTGCTGGTGCCATGGTGCAACCACAGGAAAGCGTGGTAGAGAAAAATCAGTGTGTTCTTGTGGCATGCTGGGTCGGAACTTCTCCTGGTTTGTGTCAATTCTAACTGGACTGACTCCCCCCTGGACAGGACCTGGGTCTGTGCCACCCCCAGCAATTCTGGTACCGCTCTGGCTGCACTGGAGTGATCAGGGTGCAGAGCCTTGCTTGGTGGTACATCGTCTAGTGTGCCAGTGTGAGCTTGAACCCACATCCCTTCAGTGAGGAGTCTGCAGTCCGGTAGAAAGCCCAGTTAACTCCAGTTCCTGCAATTCCCCCACCAGGGGTTCTGGCACAGCGTTTTAGCAGAAGAGTGACATGGATGTTGATCAAAATCTGCACCAGTCTGTGGTATTAGTCCTGTGGATTTTCTTGAGTTTCTTCCTGCCCTTTTAAAACGTAAGAGGCAGGTTTTTCCCCTGACACCCTGAAGTTTTAATAATAATAATTCCTTACGCTTATGTAAGGCTCCACCACCACCAGTGTGCAGCCCCCACCTGGATGATGCGACGGCAGCCAGAGTGCACCAGTACTCTCCCCACACAGCTCTCAGTGGGGAGGAGAGCAGAGTGATGAAACCAGTTCATAGATGGGGGTTATTAGGAGGCCATGATTGGTAAAAGCCAGGGGGAAATTTGTCCAGGATGCCGGGGTAACACACCTACTCCTTTTGAGCACAGACCATAGAGAGTCAGAATTTCATTTTATATGTCTCATCCGAAGGACATTGCCTTTTTTTTACAGTATAGTGCCCCTGTCACCATACTGGGGCATTAGGACCCACATGGACCACAGGGTGAGCGCCCCTTGCTGGCCCCACTAACACCTCTTCCAGCAGCAACCTTAGTTTTTCCCAGCAGGTCTCCCATCCAGGTACTGGCCAGGCTCACACCTCCTGGGGTTCAGTGGGATGGGGGGCACAGTCGTAAGCTGTGATAGGGAGACCCCCCTCCCCTGCAGACCTATGCATGAGTCAGTCGCACACAGGAGAGAAAACGTAATAATCTGTGCAAATGCAGGAGGGGAAGAGGGACGCAGTCAAACGAAACTTCATGCTGTCATTAATGAATATTGCATTTTTTAAATTAGCATTCATCGCTTGTCACAGGTAACTGTAAATGCAGAGGAAAATGGACGCGGTCTGTCAGCAGGATTGAATTTAAGAACCATCAAAAGCAGGCAGATCCAGCCGAGCAGCCCCCAATTTAATAATTAAACAAGGTAGAGTTCAAGGCATGGCTGAAGATGAAAGAGGATTCTGTCACTGGAAATTAGTTTCTCTTTTTTCTGTTGTTAGTTTAGGCTGATTTTCTCCCTCTTCTCTGCTGTTCTCCTAAAGTTTGAGGATGTCAATTTGTCAGTTAAAGCGAGCGTGAGAGTTTGGGTAGTCGCTCCCCGGTTTTGTTTTTGGCATCTTGATGTTTCTCTCTCCTTTTGCTCCTTTTCTTCTCTTTTTTTTGGTCTGTTTCTGGGCTGCTCGAGCGTTACCTTGCTGGTGCGAAAACTGAAAACTATCAGAGAGGTGCAGCAGCTGCGATGATGTCACAGGAGAAGGCCTTGGCAGTCTTACAGATGGGAGCTTTTGTGTGAGGAGACTGTTTTCCTCCAGCTTTATTCTTGAATGCTTTTGCAATGCTCAAGATTCAAAATAAATTTTAAAACCAATTGCAGTGTTGTTTGTAGACCAGTTGTAAACCCCTTGATAATAATAAAATTACGCTTTAGAGACTTCTGTTAAAATATTTTAAAAATCGAATTGAACAACATTACCTTAATCCCCTCACAAAAATAGTAAAAAAAGGGCACACAGTGCAGGCCAGATGACATCACTGTCTTCTCTCAGGGCTGTAAAATTCTGGTAATCTTTCATGCTTTCTTTTAATAATATACATTCCTCTATTTAGTTTTTCACCCTTTTTAAACGGGACTTTTTTTCTATACTTCCCACTGATGGGTCTGCCCTTGGCAGTGGACACAAAGGATCCATCCCACTCTTAACTCCACAACGCAGGTTTGCCCTGTTTCCCTGTTGCGTGATGGCCCCAGAGTTCAAATTGTAAAAGATTTTTGGACAATCCCAATGAAAACACGTGACCCTTCCCTCCCCTAAGCGCATCTACTGGGGATCTGTGCTGGTGTGGGAGTCTGCCCACAGGCACTCAGATGGCTGCTTGCAGCTCCCCAGACAGCCCTGCAACCCTGATGGCACCTCCTCCGTCAGCAGACTTTTATCTTTCTGCCGGGGCTTTGATGGCGATTTCGCAAGAGCTACTTTCCGACGGGAAACATTATTTTAACGTCCCAAAAGTTGTCTGCACTGCAGTAACTAAATATGGGATTTCGCAATGCACCCACACTGGGCAGTCAGGATTCTCCAGCAATCACTCAACAACTGACATTGTTACTGCTTTTGACTGGTTCTTACCGTTTTATCTAATTGGCAGGAGGGTTTATTCACCTTTGATCTGAGTGTGCTCTAGTGTCCTGCGTTAGCCCATTTTGAGACTTGTTTAACGACAGCTGATAGTGGGTGCAGTGCTGCTCAACTAACTGTGAGAGCTCGGTTGTTTCCTTGACAGTTGACGTCATGTTTATCCTGTGTGCTGTGTCCACTCTGAGTGACCAGCTCACTCCAAGCCAGTGTCCTTTTGAGGTGCATTCTCAGCCATGAGTGACTCTCTTACTTCTGTCTCACAAACACTAAATGGGATGTGCAAAGGTGTATTTTTTATTTATAGTAGTAAATTTAAAAAAATCTATGTTCTTATGAAAACAGGATATTAAATTAAATAATGAATAAATTTACCAGAATCTGCCAGAGATCTGAGTTTTAGAATTGACTTTTAGAAGAGCCTGGTTTTGAGCAGGCAGGTTATGGCTGCCCTATAACTACAGTACTCTGTGCTGAACAAGTAAGCAAGCTGATTGAGATTTGTGGAGCTCTCAGTCCTCTGTGTGGATTGACTTTGTGATGTTATGACATTGTTCCTTAGGAAGTGAGTTTTAAATTCCATTTTATGGGTTTAGTTTGTCTTATTTTTACACTTATTCAAGAGTCTTAAAGCACGGTCCCCTCACTGTACATCGCTTTTTTAGGTGGTGGATGCTGAAGAGGAGCTGCAAGCTCATTCAGAATTCGTCAGGTTGTATAAAGAGCAGAGAGTCCAGACACTTTGCTGGTTTTAAAACTGTCGTTCTAAAGCTCCTTTAAGTCTAGTTGTAGCCGACCATTCAGAACACAGTTCCCATTAATTCTGTCCTTTTCCAGCAGTGCCACGTGCTGTAAGCTGAATCTTTAATCAAACGTCATTCATCAGGTGTGTAAACTTGCCTTGTGTGCCATCTTTAATCCTAGCAGCTCTGCACAATGAGACTTGAAACAGCAGTTCTGGTTTCACCGTAACTTTCTTGTGTTCTTTGAACAGTCCTGAACTTTGATTTCTAAATCAAATAAACATTTTCCTTAAGTATTGTCTTTTGTTTTTTCTGTGTTTGGAACAAAGAGGCTAAGAGTGCGTAAAGAATACATCAAATACCTAAAAGAATAAGTCAAATACCTGAAAGCTTTTAAACCTTGTTATCTACTGTTTGTATGCGTGTCGTATGGAAATCTACACACACACTGGATCTGGCAGAAGTGATGGCCATCCTGGCTGTGTTCTGGAATAGTCAGACCTTTCCAAGTCCTTTTGTGTTTTTCCGAATAAGAATTTCCTTTCACATTCAGATTTCTGTGTAGAACAAAGTACTTACAGCAACATCAAAGGTGACTTTAAAAATAACACCAGATAAAATCTGAAAGGACTTTAAAGCGAGATTCTAAACACTGCATGAAACTGGAATTCGATTTGTGGCCCATGGATGATAGACCCGCTTGCCCTGAATAGAAATAAGTGCTGCTGAGCTGTACAGGAACGTATGTTTGGAAGCCCTGTCAGATAACACTTTCAAGAGTGAAAGGGCTCGGCCTTGGTTACGTTGTAAAGAACTCACAAAGGATTTTTTTTCTTTTTTTCTTCCTTTCATTTGGTGTGGGGATTTTGAAAAAATCCAGAATCTCCTGTGAAGTTGTGAGTTTTTCAAAACAAACAAAACTGAAGAAACACCCACAGTGTTTTGCAAAATGCCTCTCTTTGTTTTTGTAATTGCATATGTAGGCCGTTCATTTTTTATGAGTTCAATTGTTGAAGGAATTTTTGTGTTGTGGCTCTGGGTTGGTTTGACCATAATTATTGTTGTTTAAACAGTGGCAAGTGTCTGATTTTCCTGTTCTGTGATTCTACTGTAGGTGTTTTTCTGATTTATAACTAGTAACGGTCAATGATTAAATGGACCTCCCATTCTTAGGTTCAGTTATCTGCAGTAATAATTTCTGTTGCAGCTTGATATTTATGAGTTAGTATGTGTAAGTATGTATGCGCCTTGACGTTCTTGCTCCTTGAGGGTTGTCCTTGGCAGGTTGGCCAGGAAGGGGGAACAGGTCTATGGTACACCCTCTACATTACTGGAGAATTGCACCTGGGCATTCTGGGTAGGCTGACCATATTCCCCAATGCTGAAAACAGGGAAATCTGGGTTTGGCACTTTCTGGGACAAGGTGGGGTAGGCTGTGACATGTCGGCTCATTTGCTTTTTGGAAAACAGGACAGATAATTCATTTTTTTTATAACAAGAGCTGTGACTCCAGGGACAATCCTTGAATGTGGTTTCCAGCAAAAACGGGATGTGTGGCCAACCTTGGTGTGGGAGACAGAGGGAACTTTTTTCCTGCCACCGCAAGCCCTCCAGCGGCTCACTGGGCTCTTGTCTTGTGTCCGTTGTGTCCGTGCGTCCGCAGGACCAGATGGTCAAAGAGCAGGAGGCACGGGTCCAGCAGCTCACGGTGGAGGTTGAAAGCAGCAACGCGCTGCGGCAGAAGGTGGCCCAGGAGAAGGCTGAGCTGGAGATCCAGGTGGCAGGCATCAGCGCTGAGCTCCAGGAGGCCTGCCGCAGGTGAGAGACGGGGCTCCGGGGACCCTGACCTCAGGGGGGGGTTCTGGCGTCAGCCGCTAACTCCGTGAAAGGAACGCTGGGCCCGCCATCCCCGTTCCTCTTCATACCCCCTGGTATTTCTCACCACCATCAAGAGACGCCGATATAAAGGTCCACCTGTCTGTTCTGGACATTTAAATTCAGAAAGAGTGACTTTCTCGGCCCTGATGAGTGTAATGACAGTAGAAGACCCTGCAGTAAACCTACCCAGGCGCTGTGCGGCAGTGTATAGTGATTTTCTGTCCAGGAGCGCCAGCTGTGTGACCCATGTGATTTTTTCCATCCACTGTCAGGCCCTGCCACTTTGGTGGTTTCAAGTCCTAATCCTAATTCAAGTCTATGTAAAGGGCGGATTATATAATAATAATAATAATAATAATAATAATAATAATAATTGCTTACACTTATGTAGCGCTTTTCTGGACACTCCACTCAAAGCGCTTTACAGGTAATGGGGATCCCCTCCACCACCACCAGTGTGCAGCCCCACCTGGATGATGCGACGGCAGCCATAGTGCGCCAGAACGCTCCCCACACACCAGCTCTCAGTGGGGAGCAGAGTAATGAAGCCAATTCATAGAGGGGGATTGTTAGGAGGCCATGATTGATAAAGGCCGATGGGAAATTTGGCCAGGACGCCGGGGTTACACCCCTACTCTTTTCGAGAAATGCCCTGGGATTTTTAATGACCACAGAGAGTCAGGACCTTGGTTTTACGTCTCATCCGAAGGACGGCGCCTGTTGACAGTATAGTGTCCCCGTCACTACACTGGGACATTAGGACCCACATGAGCCGCAGGATGAGCGCCCCCTGCTGGCCCCACTAACACCTCTTCCAGCAGCAACCTTAGTTTTTCCCAGGAGGTCTCCCATCCAGGTACTGACCAGGCTCACACCTGCTGAGCTCCCTGAGCCTCTCTGTGGCTGCCCTGTAGGTGACTCATATACTCGTTAGATTGCTTTCACACATTAATAGGTTTGGCATTGACTTTTTTAAACGTGTATGGTTCTTAACACCCATCCTTCTGAATATCTTGTGGACCTCTTGCAAGGAAGTAAAAGTTAGAACTCTCATTGCCGCCCTTAAATAAATAATAGTACTCATACATTACTTACATCTCTCTTTTTCCTCCTTCGGTACCATATTTAACTGGGTGTGATTTTGAAGTCCTGAAGTTAAGTTTTGAAATATTTATAAATATGCAGATTTGTCTGGAAACTTAAGTATTGGATGCTGACAGTCTGTTAAGACCAAGAGATTTACTGATGAGCATTGCTAACAGCAGACCTCACTGTTACTGTTGCAATGTCAGTAGACTTTTGCAGGACTGGAATTGGGTAGTCAGGTCTGCTGCTCTATGTTATTTCTTCTGATCCCGTCTGAAGCCTCAAGTCCCAGGAGGCTTGCGTAAAGTAATACCAAACCTTATTAACTTCTCATAGTCAAAAGGTTTAAGCATTTTGTATTCTTTTATACTGAATTATTTCTTGATTTGATGGGATAATCAGTTCTCTGCATCAGGACTATTCAGTGTGAACTTCAAAGGATGTAGCTCTGTCTTTTTTAATAAGCAGCTGAAGACTTAAAGTTAATAAATCCCTACCTTTGCACTCTTACCATGCAATGCTGGGTCATACCAGTGGCAGGACTGCAAAGACAGGGCGTTATTTTTGAGCTCAAAGAAATCTGATATCCCTTCTGTGTCAAAGGAATAATTCCCTCCTGAGAGAGAAGGATCAGCTCAGTGAGCAGCATGAACAGAGTGTTCGGAGGATGCAAACCAAGCGTGACGCGGACCTCAGCCACCTCCAGCAGGAACATGCTCTCTCGGCAGCCAAGGTAGTCCTCTACTTTAACCTAAGTGCGAAAGACTGCACAATGCGTGGATTTCCCTCTAAGTCTGCTTGAACGTTTTCAGATGGAATTTAATAATTTATCTGAAGGAACAAGAACAGTGACACTGACAGGAATTCAACCTAGAATGTGTTCCGCGTAAGGTGAATATTATAGGTGCGTATCAGAAAAGAAGTATCTTAATAATCGTGTAATAATCCTGTAGTAATCTGTGTGCTCTCTGACTCCAGGCCTCAGAGGTGATTGAAGAGTTGGAGAAGACGGTAACCCAGCTTAAACAAGAGCTTCGCGACACTGAACACAGGAGGCAGAAACAGCTGAGGGTGAGTAAGGGTCAGTTTGCTCTGTTAGGCCCCGAAAAGACTGAGAGCACTACTCATGCTAGTGCATTCTCCCTCCTCAATTCAGTCTCTCACTCAGGCCCTGTATCACCAACGGGTCCAACAAGCCAGAGCATCCACAGTGTGGGACCGGCGAGCAGGCAGGGTTAGAACCCCAGACCCTGGTGCCACCAGTACACTGCCTCAAACCCACTTAGCCTCTCAGGCCCCTGTGCTCATTGCTCAGTGCGGTCGAAATCTGACACAGTAATAAAAAAGCCTCCAGAATGTTATAGCATCCACGTGCTGCTCACATGGAGTTCGTGTTTGTTGTGCTGAATCGGTGACTTTTTAGCATTGCAAAATGCTGAGCAGAGACATGCAATATGTGAAACTCGTTGGAATTAACATGACAGCCACTTGAAGATGGTTCTGCACCCAAAATATTGTGTTTCTCCTTATTATTTTTTAATAAGGAGGTTTGGAATTTACAATAAACTCCCATTTTGACTATCCAGAGCTTTTTTTTGTAGAATCACCAATTATTAACCCCCTGTGGGGCTCAGCCAACTGTGCTTGGGGGATCCCAGTCCTACTTGGCTAATGATGTGACCCAGCCTCGAACCCACAGCATCTGGATCACAGAGCCTGACCTGGGCAAGCTGCCTTACTGGCCGATCCGCTCTGGAGCCCTTCATAAACTTGTTGTATTTTGCTGTGCTGACATGTGCTTGGCAGAATAAACAGTCTAAAACTCTTAAAACACTTAAACAGGCTTTAGCTCGTAAATCCATATTTGAATTTTCTGCCTGTGAAATGACCTTTTCTTGCTTCTATTTGCAGGAACAAGAAAGCAAGTTTCATCAAGAGAGATCAAACTTGGAACATATCCACGACAAAAAGGTCTGTTTCCCAATACAAATGGCTTTAGATACATGTTTGTTTTTTTTAAAAGCGAATAAGTTTTTTGGATGCATTCTTGAACAATAATTCATATTCATAGTTTTAGTAAAGCACTTTGGTGATCTGTTTGCATATTTCATATTCAAGGAGTTTTTAAGCAGTTCTGGTGTTGAATATCCGAAGCGACGAAAAGCTGGAAATAAGTATTCTTGATTGTGAAGGTATCAGTTCTGAATCCATTGACCTGGAGAGCAGGTTTTGCAGAAGTCAGTGCAGAGGGACAGGTAGAACACCAGGGGCAAAACAGGTCAGGTGCCTTGATCAGTTTAGGGTGTTGTAAAAATAGAACAGCTTTGTCCGGATTCTGTGGTCTGATTGTGTCGTTGAGAACCTGGCCTGTAAAGATCAAAACACACTGATGGTGGATCAAAGACGGTGACACGCTGTAAAGGGGGAATTATTGCCTAATGAATTGGCCTAACCTGGAAAATCAGGAGATGGGTGGTTGAAGTGTGGCTCATAGCAGGAAAAGCACCTGGTCTGAGCCGGAGGCTTGCTCCTGCTGTGCCAATTAAGCTGTAAAGCAAAGGGCTTCGCTCAGGTGCACATCTGCAAGGAAGCTGTATAGTCCTTCAGGCCACTGTGAGCCTGATGCTGTTTGCTGGACTTCACTGAACAATTCTTTAAATGTTCATTCACTGGCCAAAATATTAGGTACCTCCATTGCACTGGATGAAGGCTACGTGTGTCTGGCCTGTGTAGTACAAGACAGGCTGTTTGATTTCCCTGGCCGTAACGCTCCCCCTTTATCCATCCCGCTACCAGCACACCATGACCTGCATCTAAGCCTCATCTGAAACTGGAAGCATGGAATGGGATTGGGCTGCAATTATTTCAAATCCCTGTAGAATAAACACTGTATCTGAGCTGTTTTCTGAGTTGCACCAGTTATTTGATTGGATAGAAGGTTCTAATATTTAGCAAGTGAGTGTATAATATTAGGGTTACTGTCACTGTTGTAGCTGTTTACCCCCACTACTAGTTTGCTCAGATTAAGATAAAACTGGCTTTTCTACCGATTGCATATTACACCCCCCGTGCTGAGGTGAATGAGGGAAGGGCTTATGATGACTGACTTCAGCCCAGTGGTTAACCACCATCAGGAATAGGTTTATAATCTGCGCTTGGCAGGTGGGTCACAGTTTTGTTGTATTCCTGCCGCAAGTCCTGCACAGGAATTGTAACTTGCGATTTTGGCTGGCACTATGAAGGAAAGCAGCATGTGACAGAAACTTGGCTTTAAAGCCCCGAGGAGGGGAAACTGGTGGTGTAAAGCGGTGTCTTATAGGAGGCAGAAGAGTTTCACTATTAAATGCATCAGGCGAGGCATTATTACCTGTGTTTCTGCGTCACATTTTATGGGTAAGTCTCAGTTTACTGGTACTCTAAATGCAGCAGCAGTGGTTTCAGCAGGGAGCAGTGGGAAATGACTGTATTCGCCTTTACCCTTGCAGGTCCGCGCCTTGCAGAGCGAGGCGGACAGAGACAAGGCCGACGCCACGAAGAAGATGGGCAAACTGGAGGAGGCCCTCAGGTGAGGCCTGCTCCCAGACTCCTGGGTTTTACTATGTGTTCAGCCAAGCAACTTAGAGACAAATGCAAAATACATTCGTCTTTCTGTTATGCCAGCAGCTCTAAAGTGTAAAAGGCTGTAAAGTAAAAAAACTGGGAAGCGTGTAGAAGTCTCTGCTCTTCTCAATTTTAAATATACTTCTTTGCACAAAGCGTGGGAGTATGAAACCGGCTGTCCAGACGTGCTGGGTACCTTAAGCTGGCAGACTTGATCCTTGGATCAGTTACTGTACTGACAACAACCAAATGGGCTACATGTATGGCCATGGAAAAATGTCCTCCACTTATTTGAAACCTTTTTATGTAATGTACCAATATAAGAAACATTGGTATGCTTTGTATTAGATCCTATCCCAAATGTCATATGTTCTTTCTTGTGCAGTTGTATGAAATAGTACTAAGATAAGATAAGATCACTTTATTGGCCATATACAATTTCTAGTATTAGGAATTTGTCTCTTTTCGCATACCCCACCTTGCTCTCCATGAGACACACAAATAGGGAGAGACGCTGGGGGTCAGAGCATAGGGTCAGCCATTTATACAGCACCCCTGGAGCAGTTGGGCCTTGCTCGGGGGCCCAATGGAGTAGGATTCCTCTGCCGGCCACGGGAGACGAACCAGCAACCTTCCAGCTACAGGCACTGACCAAAGTACTGCAACCTGAATGCAGTGCCTTAGATCGCTCGGCCATCCTGACTTTCTTGCACAGCCAGGAAAGTATGAAGCCTTGTATCTCTATAAACAAAATTCATGTTTATTCATTTGGATAGGGTTAGATTAGTCCAAGGGTGTTGTAAGAAGTAACTGACCCCATTAATAATAATGATGATAATAATTGCTTACACTTATATAGCGCTTTTCTGGACACTCCACTCTTTACAGGTAATGGGGAATCCCCTCCACCACCACCAATGTGCAGCCCCACCTGGGTGATGCGAAGGCAGCCATAGTGTGCCAGAACGCTCACCACACATCAACTATTAGTGGGGAGGAAAGCAGAGTAATGAAGCCAAATTCATAGATGGGGATTATTAGGAGGCCATGATTGGTAAGGGCCAATGGGAAATGTGGCCAGGACACCCCTACTGTTTTCAAGAAACACCCTGGGATTTTTAACGACCACAGAGAGTCAGGACCTCGGTTTTACGTCTCATCCGAAGGATGGCGCTTGTTTACAGTATAGTGTCCCCGTCACTATACTGGGGTATTAGGGCCCACATGGACATGGGTGAACACCCCCTGCTGGCCCCTCTAACACCTCTTCCAGCAGCAGCCTTTCCCAGGAGGTCTCCCATCCAGGTACTGACCAGGCTCACACCTGCTGAGCTTCAGTGGGCTGCCAGTTGTGAGTTGCAGGGTGATATGGCTGCTGGCTGCTGGTAACATTAAAGTTACCGTTGCTAAGGGAAAAGGTATAAGGATTAACTTTGTGACATTTGATAATTAAACATTTGTGCAACCAGAGCCTGATGTCATTTGAGAAAATTCACTGAGAGTCATTAAACAGTAAGCAAATTCCATTGGTCATTAAATGCAAAACTGTTCTTCATGCATTCAAATGGAAAATCAGTACATCACAACTTTGCTGAAAGACTAAAGTGAAATCCCAGTTCACCCCTCCTCTACCTTACCTGCAGACTCTTGGTATTTCATAGTGAAATGATGTAAAATAACTAGGAGGATTCCTCAGGAGCAAATATGCCCCTTCTCTCCATTTAAACACAGTTCATCCCTAACCGTCTTTGAACTCTCCAGGTAAAGTAGCATTTCAGATCCTATGTGATGCAATAAAAAGATAATAAGTACTTAGGAGAAACAGAAACAAGAAGATAATTGCAAGTTATAGTCAATATTTCCCAAAACCTGGGAAGGACCTCATTCTCCTGTCAGGCTGTGTTCCTGAGTCAACAGCATGCTATCTCTGGGCTCTGAGTGAACTTTCTCTGATGGTCTGTTATCACTAGCAAGGCAGATCTTTAGGAGCCCAGTTTAACCACAAGAATTTTGTGGCTGAATGTGGAAGTCGTTAGACATGGAAGCTTTTTGGGCAAAGCAGCTGTGATATAATTGTAAATGGGTGGTGGGGGCTCTGTTCTCTGACTTTTGTATACGTTGTTAAACCACTTTCCTTTCCCCTCCTGTAACAGCCCGGTGAGGAATACCCTCCAGTTCCAGTCTGAGTTGTTACCATTTTTCCGTATGTTTGTTGCAAATGCTATAGAACCTCATGTCCTGTTCACCCCAGCACACCCCCCTGTCCAAGGCCTTGGGGATGATGTCAGCCTTGCTTTAGTCCCACATATGATGTAATTGTTTACTGCTTGTTTACTTGGCTCTTCCTTGTGAGATATCACACTCCTTCAGGACTTGCTTTCCAGATTTAATTACAGTAGAGGAAGCATCAGCACACAGCCATATTTGGCGTCCAAGTTTTGCCTGACAAAACAGAAATTACATCATCTGTAATTTTGCCTGTTGTTGTGAAGATGACTGCGGCAGATACTGTTTGTCTTTGCACCCATGTCTTAATGCTGTGTCCACCCCATTTACCTCACTGTCTAGTGTTTCTTGCTCTGCTGTCCACTGAGTAGCCCGAGGGCCTGGTCTGTGTCTTGGAACAAGCTGGGCTCCCGTTCCACAGCAAATTTAATTGCACTTGAATCGCATTGAATTAACCATTATTCCCTCTATGGGAATTTGTCTTGGACATCAATGCTCACAACATATAACATATATGACGATAATACAATACAGCAACAGTATGATACCGTGATACAAAACATTTAACAACATTGCTAGGTGGGAGCTCAATCCAGTATCATAAAATTAAAATCAGACAATTAGCTGGTAAAATGTCTAAAACAACATCAACAACAATAGTAATGAGATCCCTACCTCCAAAACAATCTTTTCATTGTTCATTTCATTGTTCATTTCAAGTAAATGCTCCATTAGTCTTTATACAGAGGATCTGGTGCGTCCTTCCAGAGGGTAGGAGAGTATATTCTAAAGAGTGGATGAGAGGAGTCATCCAAGTTCTTATGTCTTAGAAACGCAGGGTGTTGTGCACAATGGACACAACAGGCGGTTCCAAACATGCTGCCATGATCTGAAATGGAAATCTGGGGCAGTTTTCCTTTGCTTGGACTTCAGTGATGCAGCCTGGGATTTCTCGCTCCGAGGATGACGGCATGCCGAATTCCTGTCGCACATCTCCCATAGTGCAAAGAGAGTGTGCGTCCTCCATCAGCCCGCTGTTTTTGGGAATAGTGTCAAGTTTTATTTCCAGGGAGTTCCTCCACTTCAGGGGTAGAATCGGGGGAACTGGGAGATGAGCCTAAAAGACTTTAGTGAAGATAAACAGAACGAAAGTGCAGATAAAGGATTAATAAAACCATGTGATTATTTGTGTATTGACAAATGACCAGATTTTATAGTTTATAAAGCAAGAAAGTGTTTTTGCACCATTACTGTTTAAAGTGTATAAATGGTACATGTCCCAAGCAGTAGCCAGTGTTGCTGAGTTTTTTCAGTTTCAGTGTTTCATGAGATTAGGACTTAAGGAATGTGCAGTGGTACTAAAATATGAGATTCCTGATCCTTTGAACTGCAGTACGTGGAGGATGAATGGTGTTGGGGTTGTGTACTGTAATCAGTTTCCTATCTCCTTATGACTTACAAAAACATTGTTGATGCCAAAACATGAGAAAGAAGCTTAGCAGAAAGCAAGGTTTCGCTTGGAAACGGGACAGGAAAAAGTCAGCAAAGTTGTTTATGCGAGCTGTGTCTTTGTTTTTGTTAGTCCTTGTTTTAAATTACCTCTGTTTTTATGTTAAGTATATCACAAAACAGATTAAGAGACTTAGTATTTTAGTCTAAAAAATCATTCAGAGCTAGCTTGAAATTGGAGTTTACTCTAAATTGATATGCACATTTATAATCAATTAATTGACTAAAATGTCAGTTATGTGTTTAGAAAAGTGTCTGACATTTGGCTGTTTATTTGCTATTTTTTTTTACTTTGACTTTATGGCTGAGTATTGCCTCTTAGCTAAAAAAAACATTTAATTTCAACCTCGTACACCATTTACATTTTTCCATTAAAATAAAAAATGTGCCACTGAAATTCTGTATAGGCATCTTTCTTTTATAATGTCATCGAAACGGTTTTGAAACGTTTAAAACCACATATCAGAGCTGTGTTTTCTGCTTTTTACAAACAGAAAGTTCAAGCATTTTCTGAAGACACAGACGCTGTTACAGCCTCCAGCAAGATATGTCACTCCCATACGCTGTCCACACCAGCGTGTAATTCTAACTTTAAACAATGACTCGTGGGTGTAAGGTGCCCTCAGACACAGGACTCTTGTACCTCAGCTTTTGCGGTACTCCACACATCAGAGGGAAATGGCCTGAATCCGCAGACATATATCTCTGAATAAATCAATCAGTATCAATAATGAAGCATGCAGCGCTGTGCAGACTTCAGAAAGGCAAGTGCTGCTTTTGGCACTGAGCTGACGAAACACTGTACGTGCTTCTGATTCGGTTTGTAAGCCGAAGCCAATTCGGCTTGCTGCCTGCTGTGGGCCGAAAAGGCAGTGCCCGTTTTCACCTGCAGCTAGTCTTAATGCACAGACCCTGACGGGCGACATGGTAAGTGCTTCAGCTTTAGAGCAAATCAGGGACTTCAAAGGAGGGTGGTAGCGCTCGTGTGGAGTGAATATTGCCCGATGGTGTGTCTAAAAAGACTTAGTGGCATTTGAAAAGATAGAACGATGGCGAGGTGGTGTTATTTAGCAGTGGACTTAGAAGCCTTTTTTGTCTGTTGATTGTATTTTTATTATTTTATTTGCTCATCACTATTAGGGACCATGAAGTGGTTTACAATGAAAGCCTGTTCGCTTTTTGTTTCTGCGGGGTATGTGTTTGCGGCAAGCATGCTGGATTTGTCCTTTC